CAGAGAAAAACACAGCGAAGGTGTTGGTGAACCTAGCGTTTATCATGGGGACCACCAAAACTCCACCACAGAAATAGATGAAGTGGGTAAATTTAGAAACGACTTGGGCAATGATATACAAACTAACAACTCACAAATCTTTCCTTTTCAAAGTTCTATCAAAGTAATGTTAAAATATACGGAGTTCTACTTGCAGACATACCGTGGGCCTTTTAAGTACCGAATGTAAATCATAGAATTTCTAAAGAATGCACCCTCAAGATGTGAAATTGCCGGAGATTCGCCAAAAAACAGGCTCCCAGTACAGTGCCGATTGCTGCAGTGCAACAAGTGGCCACCCGTTACACTCAACCCTCCTAGGGGGTGTGCTGTGTGATATAGCAGGTACACTGTAAGAAAAACTTACAATGTGATAATCTGGTGCAGTCAATTATTAGCCAGTGGAGGATTATGAAATTTTCGTCGCATTGTGGTTTGAAACCACTGGAATAACAATATGATATTGTCATTTCAAAGTACAACGCTGAATTGTACAGCAGTAGCTGTAGGTTTTTCTTACAGTGTAAGGACCCTTACTGGTTCGTTTAAGAAAGTCAAAGCAAAGTCAAAACGGCGTGGATAAATGAGAAATTGATTTACAGCAAGTGTACGCACAGAATCCGAGTAATGTAACCCGGGGATTGCACACCCTTTTTGGAATGAAGGGCTAAAGGGAACACGACGCCTCATGGGAAGAGGTAAAGAGCTTCAGCTAAGGAAAGTAAAAACCTGCCTTTAAAAGTGACAAAATCAGTTGTTTTTATTTTTTTAAACTGTTTTAAAGCTACCATTTTAGCAGTTAATTTTAAAAATCCCTGCTCGTCGCTTTTATTGCCTATGCTGTTTATGCGGCAGTTACATTACATTGATTGCCAAGGCATTCCTTGGCATAATTTCGGTCATTTTAAAAGAGCAAAAAATGGTCGTTGAGTGATTATCCTGGGGTTAGAGAATAGCAGAACTAATCCCCGAGTCCCGATTCTTTTATTTCTCAAAAATGAAAAAGGGTACCGTTTTCACATGGGATTCTCAATCAGATATTTTACTAGTTTTGACTCAGAGGAACAAAAGAAAAGGTCAAATAAACAACAGCGTTGTTCAAAAAAGATGAGGGAACCGATGAATCATAGCGATAAGATTCTCCTTCAGCACAACCGTACGCTAAATTTCTGCCCTGGTCGTTCGCTATGACAGAAGTGAGAAAAGAAAAGTATACCATGCGTGTCCGTGTGAAACTTCATCAATGGAGCGCTGGTGCCCGCTGGGCTCCAATGCTGGTCCCGCCTCTATGTAGTCATTTCAGGCGTCGATGTCGCCCAGGGGGTCAGTTCCAGTGGCGTGCGTGCGGCTTTTATAGTGTGAGAACCTCTCATGTAGGCCAAACATACGGTTCAGAGGGTATCCTTTAAACGAGACGCACCAATCACAAATCTTAGTAAACACATCAACCCAACGACCAACGTCAAGTAAAATGTTAAAGGTGCATATGTGAAATTCGTGAATTCTCTTTAATATTTTGTATATACAAATATGTCCTGTAAATTTACAAACTTTATCTGTCGTACGACGTTTCTCATATTCCACATTTTCTAACACCAGTATGCAAGAAACTCGGTTGATCGACTTTACAGAGAAGGACTGGTTATCCTGTTGTTTTAAATAACTTTTTACTGTAATGACATCATTACTGTAGAGTCACAGTTATGGTGCTTGTAGTGCGCAACTGGCAACAATCTGCGAGTGTGAAACATCGTTTTGAATAGGCCTGCAGGTGATCAGCTGCTACACTCTTAAATTCTTACAAAGAAAATTCTTGTATTACAAATAATGTTGTGCAACCGTAATACTAGCCAAATTTTCTTCGTAATACAAAGAAAAATCATTGTAATACAAAGAAAACTTTTGTGTAATACAAAGAAATTTCTTGTAAAACAAGAAAATTTCTTGTATATTACGGTTGCACAGAATTCTTT